TCTGGCTAATTTTTGTATTTTTATTATAGATGGGGCTTCACCATCTTGGCCAGGCTGGTCGTCAGCACTGACTTCGTGATCCACCTGCCTTGGCCTCCCAAGGTGTTGGAATTACAGGTGTGAGCCACCACTCCTGGCCAGAACTCCTAAGTCTTTTTAGCATGTGCTGCTGCTGCTCTGCCACATTTGTACCATTCCTGTAATTTTTTGGTTTTTTTGAGACGAAGTATTACTCTGTCGCCTAGGCTGGAGTGCAGTGGCGTGATCTCAGCTCACTGCAACCTCCACCTCCTGGGTTCAAGCAATTCTTCTGCCTCAGCCTCCCAAGTAGCTGGGATTACAGGTGCCCACCACCACGCCCAGCTAATTTTTGTATTTTTATTACAGATGGGGCTTCACCATCTTAGCCAGGCTGGTCTTGAACTCCTGACCTCATGATCCACCTGCCTTGGCCTCCCAAAGTGCTGGGATTATAGGTGTGAGCCATCGCAGCCAGCCAGAACTGCTAAGTCTTTTTAGCATGTGCCACTGCTGCTCTGCCATATCTGTACCATTCTTGTCATGTTATATATGCTTTGCCTACTTCCAAAAATAGTATTCAAATGTGTATCCTTTAATGAATACTTCTAACTTTGTAGTTTCTTCAGATTTAATCAGGTGGCCATCTTGATCCTAATATATACTTAATGAAAATTGTTGACTACAGTAGGGTAAATGACAGAGCCTGTTGGTTTCTATCCACAGACAACTCCTTCCATATAACATTGTTCGGTGCTTTTGGTTGTCATCATTTAAACAGCTATAAGTTCACTTAACTATACTGTTGTCCTGCCCACATTTCTCCATCTTGTACACAAATATTGATTGCTTTGCTGACATTTATGAATGTTTCAGAGGGTTCCAAAGTTAGCTAGGGAAATTAAAGACAGTCTTTAAAATTTTTCCCTAACCTTCCTATGGAACTGAGATCTCTTCATACTAGGAACTGAAAAAGCAAAGAGAATCTGACTCACTGGCTTTTTGTATGCAAAGGAAGAAGTGGCGCTCACTTACAGTCTCCTGTTTTCTGATCTCTCGTCCCAAAGCAAGTTTCTGACCCAGTCCAGTATTCTTCCTCTGGATAAATGTACCTGGTAGTGGAGGTGATAAAGATTCCCCTATCCTGGGCTTAGTTGTCTTAGATGCTCTGATCTTCCATCCATTTTAGCTTTTCTTTCCCAAGGCAGATATTTCTCATGGGCTTCTTTGCTTCTGAGACTCACCCAAAAGACTTGGAAACTTTTAAAAGTGTTGTTAAATTGCTTCATATTGCTAAGGGAAATACAATTTAGTAATTTTTTTAAGAAGTGTATGGCCTGGTCTTAAATCACAAATACATGATCATCTTTTAATTCTTGTTCACCACAAGAATTCTGAGTTAAAATGCATTTTTTATAATGTCTACTTCTTCTTCCTAGACAAGCCGATTGTAAGCAATGTTCTTTAGGGAATTTCTAATGTACTCATAACTTCTCTACTTTCTTCCTCTGCCACGGTTAGATCATCAGAGAATTAGATTTACTCAGATGCATGCATACATCCCTCTTAAACAGTTAGCACATGTCTTTTTCATTCCTCTGATCTGACAGTCTGATTTTCCTATCAGGAAAGGAAATGATATTAGCCTAGTGTGGCTTGTTTTGTGAATATATGTGAATTCAGAGAACGCATCAGCCATCTTTTTAGGTCACTTACAACATGTCTCTATCTCATACTTGATTATGTTATCTTGGTGGGATCAACATCAGTTGTTGATGTCTGGGTTTGGAATCTGTCATCCTCTCAGTTCTGAGCATCAAGACTCCTCTTATCCTCAGCAACATGGCCCATGTTTGCCTATGTAACAAATGCGCATATTCTGCACATGCACCCCAGAACTTAATAAAAGTTGAGGAAAAGTAAATAAATAAATAAATTCTGCTAAGTGTAAAAAAATAAAGACTGCATTTACTCATTTCCAGTATCAGCTCCATGTTTCACTGTTCCTTAAAGAGTATTGATCTCAGGTATAGCAGGACACTGGCCTGCTTGTAGAGATGCTTAGCGCTTCCTTCTGTCTTCTGGGTTGTACACAGTTCCCTCTTATCTTGTGTTTTTTATCTTTCAGTTGTGAAAACTTGTTATGGCTAGGGAGGATAGAAACAGTGCTGGAATTAAGTAGCTCTACTTTCTCTGTCATTTTCAGCGTGGCGCTTTCAGCACGTAGAGCAGTGTCTGACACATAGCAGGTGTTTAATAAATGTGGAATGACTGAATGAATTCTTCACAAGCAGCAGCCTTATCCTTGCTCTGTTCTTTTCATATTCAAAGCCTCGTTATTGAAAAGGGGTTGGAAGGCCTGCCCCTTTGGTTTTGCTGAGGAGCTTGTCTTAGATGCAGAATCTCAGGCCCCACCTACTGAATCATCTGCCTTTTAACAAGGTCCCAAAGTGATTCACATGCACATTGAATTTTGAGTAGCACTGCTGTAAAGCATAACTTCAGTCTAAAACAAAACTTTAAGAACCTTTCCTATTAGAACAGTGATTCGCCCTGCACAATTCATTAGGCTTCATATTCCTTTTTTCATCATTAGTGGTTGCATATTTCTGCTTGCCATCTCTAGGAGAGTTCCCAATGTTGCCAATTTCATTTGGATACTTTCCCATTGCTTCCTAATCAGGATTATTCAAGACTGTAATTTCAGCATTATATTTTTAGAAAGTCTTTCATTTATATTAAATTCTCTTTTTAGCAATTTTTGGCTATAGGCTCTTTTTTAAATCTTTAGAAATCTGGTTTTTAAAAAATTATTGATATACTGTTTCACATTCTCCTTGCTAATTCTCATGAGCTTTGACATACAGCACTTTTCCTCTAAATATTCATTTCATTAGAATTTGATTGAGAATTAAATTAGGTGTTCAGGGAGAAGGCCCCTTAGGATTCTTTCAGATTCTCTGCTTATAGCAGATGAGCCTTCTAGCAGAAATCCAAACAGATGACATTCTTTACTCTTACTCTAGCCTCTGTAATCAAGTAGTGTATATTTACAGTTAGAGAATAGCAGGACTTGTACTGCTTTGTAAGGGAACTTGTTCGTTAGGACTGTCCCATTTATTCCCTAATGATTTTGCTTAACTGTTTTAACTATACACACAGATGTATACACATACAGCAGAGTAGATTCTGACTATCAGATAACTACACAAAAGGGAATCCTGGTTGTAGGATGTGGGTCAAGGTCCCACTGCTCACCTGGTGGCAGAGTAAGTCACTGTAGGCACAGTCCCTGGGAGAAGTTAACAGCAGTTCATAGAGTCAGCTTATTACATGCTAATCCTTTTTAGCTGAAAGTAAGTAACATCAGAGCTTCTTGACTGTCAGGTGTATTCATGGCATTTTTGCAGACCTGTGACATTATTTATTTAAATAATTGCCCAGTTGCAGATCTGTGACATAGTTGAAGGAAGAAGGGTTGGGAAGGGAATGACCATGTTGAAAACTTACTGCATCAAAAGTTTTACAAACATGTTTTAAAAAGAAAAAAATTAACTTTGAAGTAGGAGGAAACATGTTAGTATAGACCATATAAATTATTTTATCCAGTAAAGTATAGAAAACCAACACTTACATTCGGTTCATCTTTTAAAAAATTTTTATTTTATAGTTATACTTACTGGTGGACCCCAGAGGTGATAAAGCATTTACCATTGCCATATGATGAAGGTAGGTAACTGTTTGTGTTTTAGTTTTTACACTAACATATTTTTGGAATTATACCTAAATGAACTTGAAACATTAAATCCTTTGCACATGGTATTTTATAGAAAGAAATGATTATGTTGCTGCTTTAGTAGATAGGGGATTGTATAACATCTCCTGGCTTCTTAAAGAACAGTAATTATATTATACTTCTTTTTATCTATGTAGGCCAATGCCTTGTATTGTGTTTTACAATTATGTATGTTTCTCAAATATTTAGTCAATAAAATATGATCTATCAGCTCATCACTTTAAATTAGTACTGCTTATATTTCTACATATTTTGGGGGAATGTGGAGGAAATAAGGACCCATTCACAAGGAGAACTTAAAAATGTTTTCTTTGTGCTATGCAGTGGAGAAAGGTACAGATATATGTATAACGGTACATTTAGCCACATTTAATTTAAATTTTTAAATAATTTAGTCACATTTAAATTAAGTTTTATTAATTTGTCAGAGAGCTAGGAAAAATTCTATATTAAAGGAATACCCTCAAGTGTATAATACATTAAAATGTTGTTTCCAAATTTAAATAATTGCCCAATTTTAAGTACAGTTAGTTCTGCCTCTGTTACTAATTCCCCTGCTCTTGGGCAAGCTCGTTTTCCACTTGGTAAAGGGTTACTAGCAAAATCTTCTGCAAATCTGGTACGCTTCAGTTGAGGACTCCATCTAGTCATGATTCATCATCCCAACTTTGGGTAGGGAAGCCCATAAACAAAGATCACAAAGAATCTTTGGTTCTTATTAAGTTATAAATTCATTTTGGAAGGTATTTGTAACTTGAAATTCTGGGCAAAATTATTAGTCATATTGCCAAGAAGGTTTAGTTGTTTTGGGAGAAGGGAAAGGGTTTTCACTATCTAACACTGGCTATTAACAGAATTTGAAATATAAAGGGAAACTTTGGGGAAAAGCTGTATAATTTTTAGCTAAAATGCAGAGGGCATTTGTTTAAGAGCAAAAAGGAATTTAAAGAGGCCCCTCTAAGTAACTTCCTGCTCCCACTGGACTTCCTGAGGCCTTCCTGCCTCCTTAGAGCTGGTTGAACTCAGCTTTTCATTGCATTTTCTCTGCATCCATCTCATCTCTTTTCTAACTGTGTAAGTGTCGGAGGCAGGAGTTCAGCCTGTTCAGGACTGTATCCCCTACAGCACTGTCTGTGAACACAGCTTATCACAGCACTGTCTGTGAACACAGTTGATATTATGGAAATATTTGCTTGATGTAATCTCAGACTTTTAGAGTAACATGCAGGTATCTCTCTCAGTTATCTGTGCTGCGAACTTAAAGAAGTTGATAGTGAAGACATTCCACAAATATGAAGAAGAGATTGATATCCATAATGAGTTCTTTCGGCCATATGAGTTGAGCAGTTTTGATGATACCTTTTGCTTGGCTATGACAAGCTCAGCACGGTATGTTGTGGGTACTCCGATACTGTATGTATGTGGGAACTGTAGTTTTCCTAGTTTGTATATGTATATCTGTCTTTACCAGAAATCCATTCTGCAGGCCTTCTGTCAGGTGGGTAGTCAGCCTTTGTTTGAACAGTCCCCTCCTGTGATGGGGAGCCCACTACTTTAAGAGGCAGCCCCTTCTATTGTTCTCTTGACAGTTGGAGTCGATTTCTCCCCTTTGATAGGTTGAAATCTGCCTCCCATTAGCCCTTGTTTGCCATTTGGAATAAACTCAGTTTTTTTCATTGGACATAGAAATTGAGAGTTGACGTAAATTAGTGGGAAAAACATCATCTTTGGTACTAGAAAGGCTAGGATGTGAATCTTGGTTCAGCTACTTCCTGTGTGATCTTGAGAAAATTTTCCAGCTTACCTGAGCCTTATTTTCTTAATCTCTCTCTTTCTCTTTCTCTTCCCACCTCCCCACACACACATTTCCCCCAGGTACCTTTGTAGTACCATGTACAGGCAAGTGACTAATAAATGGTAGCTATTATTACTATTTTTATTAGTCACAGGACAAATCTAGTTCCTCTTCAGTCTGACAGCCTCCAGATATTTGAGGAAGCAATATTAATTTCTTCAGTGTAAATATCCTTCATTTTTTCTTCCATAACTTATGTGGCATGGTTTCTCTATCCTAGTTGCTCACCTTTGGACATATTCCATGTTCTGTATCTCTTTTAGCATTTGATGGGACCCTTTAGGAAAAATTGTGGGACCAGAATAAGAAAAGTGAGCAAAGAAAATTACTTATTATATTTTTACTAAAATTTAAATTTTTGTATTTCACATTTTCTTCAGATGTAGTATTTATATGCTTATACTTTATGTGATACATGTAGAAACATATTCTGTGGTTTTGTTTCCTGGAAATCACTCTAAATTTTGCTTCAGTTTCAGATAGGAATAGTTTGAAATTCTTACTTGCTTGATTTTTCAAGTAAACTTGTTAATGTTTAGCAGTTTTAACTATAAGACCTTTGACATTTCTAGAAGTTTTCAACTCAGCAAAATATAAATGACATTATGTATATGTGTTTATATATGTATAAACTCTGACTTCACATCTTTGATAGGTTCTTGGAAACTGACTTTAAGTGAAATGAGGTTGAAAAAAAATGACATTATTTAAGGACCTGCTACACTGTTTCACTTGAAGTCGCAGTTTCCAAGAACTTATCAATGACATTGAGGATTTATAATTGTATTTGTAATGGCTTGTTCTATAAAGTCACTTCAAACACTGAATTAATAAATACTGATTTGCTCCTAAGGGAAATACAGGATTAGATTCCTGAGAGCCTCTGGCCACATTCTATTTGTCAACCAATAAGTAAATAACCTAGTTTTGTGTGTATTTTTGTTTAAAGACATAAACATATTTAATATACAATCAGTCCCTGTTTTAGAATGATTCAACTTATGATTTTTCAGCTTGACAGTGGTGCAAAAGTTACATGCATCAGGTAGAAACTGTACTTCGAGTTTTGAATTTTGATTCAAAATTCTTTGTAATAACTTTACTATAAAACAGGCTTTGTGTTAGATGATTTGCACAACTATGGGCTAATGTAAATGTCCTGAGCACGTTTAAGGTAGGCTACACAAAGCTATGATGTGCAGTAGGTTAGGTGTACTAAATACATTTTCAAGTTGCTATGGGTTTGTCAGGATATAACCCCCATCCTAAGTTGAGGAGCATCTGTATATTGTTGATTTATTAACATAACACTCACGGCCAACAGCACCGTAACTCATCCCTGAATGAAGTTTATCTAACACACATGTTTTCTCTGTCAGGTGCATCACCGCTTTCTTGTGCTTAGAAACACTAGACAGCTTCAGCATTATGTGTAGTGGCCATCTTAAATAGCAAGATCACCCAAAAAAGAACCAAAAATGTGAAAAACATGGTGTTAAATAGACTGTGAAAAAGACAGTTATGATACAAGAGCAGAAATTAAGACGCAAAGTTCCCCTTGTTCAGCCTCAGCTGAGAAATTCAGTTTTTACCACTCTGTGCATGCACATGTCTGCAAATGACTGTGAAAGTATCATGAAGATTGATTTGGGGGTTACAGATATACACACTAGGGAGTAAACAAACTCACAAACATGGAATCTACCAGTGAAAAAGATCAATCGTATGTATTCAAAAAGAAATAAAAAATTAAGCCAGTTACATCTTTAAAACATTTTCAAACTGTTAAAATAGTGATTTTAGGCCAGATTCAAGATTACTTTCTTTTCCTTCAAATAATGTGATATTCAGTCACACACTTGGAGCAATGTCCTTGCCAGAAGCCAGGAGTCTTATCCAGCAGAAATCCTGGAACTGTTGCCTTTTTGGCATCTACTATGGAATCTGGTCTGACTTTAGCAGTAATGGTGAGGTGGCCCTTGCATAATGTGGAAGAAGCTTTAGCTTATCTCAGTAAGTGGTAAATTAAGAGAGTTTCTATTTAAAGTGTTCCAACAGTGTTTTAATGAATTAACCTTAGCCTAATGAGGTAGTTGTTGGTATTTCAGTTCATAGCACTGTTTTTTTGATCATAATGTCTACCTCCTTAGGTGGCATAACTTAAAAATGTTATCCACGTAACTGAACAGCTTAGTGTTTTGTCATTGGCCTTTAGGAATTTAAATTTTACCTGAGAACTAATCATGATATATAACCAGATTAACCAGATGGTATACATCTTAGCAGATGTCAACACTGTTTCAGTAGATGAGATTTTAAATTCAAAACTACTGGGCCTCATGATCATAGAGAATTCACAATTAAGACTGATAATATTGAAATTACCTAGTGCTGTTAATTCACGTTTTATGTCCCTGAGCAGTTGCCTTGGTATATATAATATGTAACTCCTAGAGTTAAGAAGGAATATTATAAGAGTGTGAACTGAGATGGAAGCCAATATCACCTGGATGGACAGTAATTCATATGTAATTGTTTTTTCACTTTTCTTTAGTGACTTTATGCCTAAGACTGTTGGAATTGATCCAAGTCCATTTACTGTGCGTAAACCAGATGAAACTGGAAAATCAGTATTGGGGTAAGATTTGTGTGTAGATTGTATGTAGAACGAAACTTTAAAGATTTGTGTAAAAGAATAGTACTTGCATATGATGATTTCCACCAAAAACTAATAATTTCAGGTCACATAATTATTTATAGCAGTGGAATCTCTAAGGTGTTCAATACTGAAAGTAGAATTTATGGGAGTTTCAGCGATACTATACATTTTATTGTTTTAAATTGGGAATATACAGATGACATAAAGGCAGGTGACAGATATTATGTCTTATAAATAACTCAGCATTATCTGTTTCCCAACATGAAATAGTTAAGTAAAATTTTGTATTTATTGCATTTATTTTGTTGGCATCCTCAATAACAAAAAATCAAATATATCCTGATACAGAACTTAGTAGATTTTTCTGTGTATTACTATAACATTAATCTGAGGGAGACTTTTATTCAGTCCAGTAAAGAAGAAGACGTATTGTGTTTGCATCTAGTAACACAATAAAATTTCAAATATAGTTTATGTTCATCAGTTGTTCATTATTTGGATACACTATGATAGATAAAAAATTTATAGGAGGGAGAGAAATAGACATAGGTTTGGCTACCCACATTTTCTTGGAGCTTTTATGAGTTACAGCTAATTTTAGTAATATCCCAAACATACAGTCTTCTATAATTGTACTGTAAGTTTTGAGAATATTGATATCAATTACCAAAGGAAGGCATGGTAACCAAGTGGTGAGAAGATTTTTTCACACTCTGCAAGTAATTTTCCTTTATTTTTTGAATTTATGACAGGGCTTATATTCATATAACGTCAGTGCATGGACATGGAAAAATACGAAGCCTTTCCCTGTAGCACAACCTGAATCCAGAAACTAGTGTCACTCAGTCGTTTTTTTATGCTTCACTAGGCCTAAGGCTTTGGGACAGAGTGATAGACAGTGAGTGTTGAGGGTTATTTTAAAGATGCTTCACATTCATATTATTCTTTTAAAAGAAACAAAAGCAATAGAGAAGAAGCCGTATTACAGCGGAAAACGGCAGCCAGTGCCCCGCCGCCCCCCAGCGAGGAGGCTATGTCCAGCAGCTCTGAGGATGACTCTGGGACTGATCGGGAAGAGGAGGGCTCTGTGTCTCAGCGCTCCACTCCCGTGAAGATGACCGACTCGGGAGATAGCGCCAAAGTGACCGAGGTGCGGGGGAGGGAAGCTTATGGGATCCAGCCTGAGGCCCTGAAAAAAAAAGGCTGAGAGCAAGAAAATGTCGCATTATCTCACTGCGGGGTTTGAGGCACTGCATAAGATGAATACATTTAGCATAGACATGATTTTATTTCATTTCGAAATAAAATTAGTGTTTTTGCTGGCATGTGTAATGGTGAATTTCTTACCCTTTCAGACCTTTGAAGTGAATACTGGCCCTCTTTGATCAGCTATCCACTTGAGGTCCATTGATTCTCTTACTGGGCACATTGTTGGAACACAGGATTTAGACATGGCCTTTACAATCTTTGAATGGCCCCAATGGGAAATTCATCCTGTTCAATTCAATATTACTAATAGATTGCGGGGAAAAAATAGAAATCAGCAACAAAAGAACCAAATCTAGCTTTGGGTAAATTTGATTTCTAGAAATATCCCAAACTCATTTAGAAGTAGATACAGCAAATAAAAATGTGATAGTAGGATCTGAATTCATATTCCAGGAGTTGGCAAACTACGATGTATTGGCCAAATCCAGCCTGATGCCTTTTTTCGTAAATAAAATTACGTTGGAACCCAGCCATGCCTGTTGGCTTACTTATTGTATGTGACTACTTTTGTACTGTAACAGCAGAGCTGAGTATTTGCCACAGAGACAGCATAACCAAAAAACGCTTAAAATATTTACTATCTGGCCTTTTACAGGATAAGGTTACCAACTCCTGCCTTATACAAAAACAGCTAGTAATTATTTAGCAGCTTTTTTAAATCCTAGAATAAACTATTTTTAGCAGAAACGGAAGTCAGATTTTTAAAAAAACATTAACTAAGAAGTTTAATGAACAGGTTAAAGAAACATTGTGATTGCTTTTGTGGCAAAATTCACAGTTTTGTTTTCCTTTGGAAATTACTGATATTTTAGATGTTTAAAAATTCTGCCTGGTTCTTTTTTTTTTTCTTTAACCCCAGAATGTGGCCCAACCCATGAAAGAGCTATATGGAATTAACCTCTCAGATGGCCTCTCAGAAGAAGATTTCTCCATTTATTCAAGGTAAGATACTTTCATATAGGCATTAAAGATAAATGAGTATTTATTATAACGTTTTACAGTAACTTATATCTAGTGTAACTTTTTGTATGTATTTTTTTTTGGAGATGGAGTCTCACTCTGTCACCCAGGCTGGAGTGCAGTGGTGTCATCTTGGCTCACTGCAACTTCTGCCTCCCAGGTTCAGGCGATTCTCCTGTCTCAGCCTCCCAAGTAGCTGGGATTACAGGTGCACACCACCACACCTGGCTAATTTTTTGTATTTTAGTAGAGACGCGGTTTCACCGTGTTGCCCAGGCTAGTCTTGAACTCCTGAGGTCAGGCAATCCGCCCTCCTTGGCCTCCCAAAGTGCTAGGATTACATGCGTGAGCCATCGCACCCTGCTTAGTATACTTTTAAGAAATGAAAATGGTCAACAGTACAGAAGAAAATGAATTCCACTTAAAATGTAGTTTCAGCACTGAAGCAGTCAAATTCTGAAACATTGATTTATATTTGGAGTTAAAGCGCTAAATGCCTGAGACTCTGCCCCTCAGTGACAAAAATTTATGATGCATGCAAGTATCGGCACTACTCATATGCAAACTACAAACCAAAGTACCAGTACATTCCTGCATTTCTAAATCCACAAGATCAAAGTCCCTTCTCACAAAATAAATCTGGGATATTGACAAATGAGGACCTTGTATTGCTTTAGGCCCTAGTTGCTGGTGGAAGTGGTGGCTGAGGAGGAAAAAGAAAACAGTGATAATAGGGTGTCAATTCACAATGTTATAGGCCTTTATTAGGCAGATCTAGTTGAAAGGAGGGGATACTCATAAGGTATTCCCTGAAACATGTACATAATTTTGTATGTATATGTGTCCTTTTGAGAAGATACAGTTACCAGATTCTCAAAAGAACCCTTCATTCAGAAATCCCCGAGAACCTGATGAGAACATTGCAAACGCCTCTTCAGCCTAATACATGGATTTAGAAGACCTGGTTATTGCATATGAATACAATTCCACTTATACAGATTTGTAAATGTGTGTGTAAAATGTAAATTGTGTAATATAAAATGAGCACCGATCTTCAGTTCTTTTTAAATAAGGGCATTTCATTTACAGTATCTATTGAATTAGATACTGTCAGCTTTTTGTTTCAAATTAAGAAAAATTATAATATATAAAATATAAAATGCACAGCATTTCTTGACTGCCAAAGCAGCTCCTATAACTTGCACTCTTTTGAATATGCATCATTTTCTGACTATAAGCCAATTTAGTCATCAGAGCACAGCCACATCCTCCTCATTCTGACACACAAACACACAGTACTTATTCATCATGGCTGTCAGAACTCTGTAGCGAAGCTCTGTAGTAGTTGAAGTGGGCCTTTACAAACTGTGTGGTCTGAAGAATGAATTAACTGAAGCTAGTGATTGAGTAATATGACTTTGTTTATTGCAGAGGGCATGAGTGTGTATGCCAAGGATTGAAGGGGTTACTTCAAGGGAGGGAGGAACCCACATCCTGAATAATACCTCCTTTCATTTGTATAACACTTTACACTATTTGGTTTGTTCTTTAGACAATTCTGTAGTAGATTAAAAGGATATTATCCCCTTTTGTATGCTAACAGTACAGCAAGTAAAGCCATTTAATGCCTTATCCAGGAGTCATATCCTGTGTTTCTGGGTACTGTGTGATTTTAGGCTGTTCCCTCCTTTTTGTCCTCTTGATCATAATCAGCTGCCACTGCTCAGGATGCAGACCTCGGGGGAAGGGGAGAAACCATATCCTGTGTTTCTGGGTACTGTGTGATTTTAGGCTGTTCCCTCCTTTTTGTTCTCTTGATCATAGTCAGCTGCCTCTGCTCATAATGCAGACCTGAGGGGAAGGGGAGAAACAGGGGGCTGGCCCTGTCTGTGAGTACCCCTTCCTGTGGGCACACTGGCCTTACGAGGCTTTTCCCTCTCTGCGTTGCCTGCCCCAGAACATCTCCCCTCTCCATCTGCCATGGGCATTGCAGTAGGCAGAGGAATCCTCCTTCCATCAGTATCTGTCAGGTAACTGCCAGAGGATAACCAAGGGATATTCAGGGACTGGCACCGACTTTTGGCTCAAATAGGCCCTGGGGCTTTCTTAGTGCCTCCTTTGATCCAAAGGGCAGAGTTTCAGGGCAGGGCTAGAACCCGGGTAGTTCTGTACTGAATTGGCAGGTGCCCCTGCCACCCCATTTCTGCACTCAGTTGGGTGGTTATGTTTGTGCACATAGTAGACAGTGAGCTAGCCTGGCTTGCATATAACAGCTCCCACCTGACCTATCACAGAACACCATGGAGAAGGGAAGCCACACAGCTAGGAGTGGTTTTTGCAGCAGCCTGTCTTCCAGCTTCCCATTCTGCCTGTTTTTCCTACACTGGACCTTGCCCACCTTTGGACTACTAAGGATTTCTCGGTTTCGTAGTTTTATTCTAATTGCTGAGCCCTACTGTCTATGTCTTCCTTTTCCCTCATCTTTTCTAGTATCTTTGGTTTGCTATTTGACCAGACCTGAAAGCTTTCTCCATACTTCCTTGAAGCTTCATACACTTGCCAGTTTTTAAAAAACCCTGGCAGTGATTGCACACCTGATTTGGGAAGTGTAAAGTTCTATACAAATAATCAGTACTACGTGGCATTCTTCCCAAAAAATGGATCAAAATGTTTCACTTGCTGAAGATAAAAGTTGGATAAAAGCAAGCTGTTTGAAAATTTTTCAGTAGCACTGTAATGATACAATAATTGGTAGTTTCTGTAACACTTTCTTGACCTTTAAAAAAGTTAATGAAAAACAAATGATAAACTTTTCCATAGTCTTCAAAGGAAAATATTTTTAAATAGTTAAAAAAATGGAAAGGAAATCAGTTCTTTTATCCTTCCCTGTAACCTCCCATGGGCACATTAGGACAAAACCGCAAAACTGCATCCCTGAAGGAAAGACAGATCCATGCAGTCCAAGCAGGCTTCCAGCAGATATGTGCTCCAGAAAGCTGGAGGTGGAGAGGCTATCCTCTCCACCTGCTGAGCTGGCCCAGGCCACTCCCTCTGGCTCTTAGCTCAAAGCCTGCCTTAGTGCTGTTCCAAGTCTTCTGGTAAGCGCTGTTCAAGACCTTTGAGAAGAGGCCCTATGGCCATAGTGCTCATCAGTGGGCATCCCCAGTCTTGGTTGAAAGCATTCCTCTTCACATGTTATGCACTTATATGTATTTGGTATTATTTGTATATGGGAAATTTAAAAATACTTGATAAATTATTATAAATTATAGAAAAGACTAAAAAAAAAAAGAAAAGAAACTTCCTTTTCAATGTGTTTAGAGTACTTGATGGGGGGATTTTTGTGGTCTGGAGGAAACTGAGTTCGTGGCCTGTTCTCAGCAGTGTCTCTGCTTCAGGTGGTGGATCCCCAGCCTGAACCTGACCTTTCCATGTCACTTGTCTCACTGCTAGCACCACTCTGCATGCTTTCACATGCATCCTGCATTCCACACATTAGATATGTGTCACCCTTAGATGTACAAGGCTCTGCAAGATCATCTTCCTGGCTTCAGGAACATTTGTGTTCAAGTTCTGCACCATGTTTAAATTAATATAAGTTCAGTGGTGTGCACATTTGATTTCATTTTATCCATGATTATGGCTTATATTTTAAGCAGAATCCCTTTTTCTACTTTTAACAAGCCCACTCTAAAATCATACAAAGTCTTATGTTACATAGGGTACTCTTAGGTGCTTTTCTGAAATAAACACACTACTGTCATTTGAACGCTTATACCATTTTATGTAATCTAATTAATTAATTAGAATTAATTGCAAGTACTCCTTTCTTTGGCTTACTCTTATCCATTGTAACTTGTAGATTTGTTCAGCTGGGGCAGAGTCAACATAAACAAGACAAGAATAGCCAGCAGCCCTGTTCCAGGTGCTCAGATGGAGTTATAAAACTGTAAGTACCAAATTAGACCTTTAAAGAAATCTTTGTAGTCATGCCATTCATAGGGCTTTCTTTAAAGACTTAAGAAAAAGATTCACTCTTGTCACCAAATTAGTATAAGCACTGAAGTATCTCCTTGTGATACCTTACTCGAGAAAAACTGGGTCTCTGTGGGATAGGGAAGAGGTTGACAGCCGTGGTGGTTCTGAAATATATCTTTGGAGGTGGGATTGGCATTGGTGGAGGCTTCCGACCTGAACTCTGCCCTCCACTGTGTAGAAGTGGGATGGTGAAAGAGCTCTGATCCTGGAGACATGCTCAAGTTCAATACAAGAGCTTTGAGGATATGGATAGATTTGTCTCTTCTAGCTATGACTCCTCATCAGTTTTAATAACTTGCTATAAGTTAAACAGGTGTTTTGTGAAATCTTAAATAAACAGAAATATGTTCAAATCATACTACTCCCCAGTTTTTTACCTTGAGCAAATAACTGCTATGGATTCAGTTTCCTCATCTGCAAAAGAGAATAATAGCACCTACTTTGTAGGAAAGTGATGAGACTCAAATGAAATAATGCACACAAAGTGCTTAGAGTAGTGTCTAGAATCCATTCTCAAATAGTTGTGATCACCATCATCATCCTCTTCTTCATATTCATCGTTATTGCCTGCTTGTTGGGGCCTAACAAAGCAGAGGGTTGTGACCAGAAGAGGCTCCCTGATGTCATATGCTCAGTTGAGTTGCTTCTATAAAATGAGTTGTTGTGGAAATTCAGTGAGGTAGTATATGTGAGGCATCTAGCTCAGTGTCTGGCATACATTTGACATTTAGTAAATGTTCTCTTCCTTTAGACCAACTTTATCAGTTTCATCAATTAATCGTTTATTTGAATAGGCATTGATTGCCTAACTTCTCTGTATCTCACATCTGCAGGTTCTTAATTGATGGCTCAGAGGCTATTACAGTAGTCCAGGCAAAAGCCTTTTAGAGAGTAGTGGCTGTGAGGATTTTGAGAATGATGGATCTGAAAAATATCTAGCTGGTGAAATGGACAGAACTTGGATCCTGACTCACAGAGTGGGGAAGAGGAGGGTATTATTAAGAACGACCCTTAGGTTTTTTGGTTTGTGTAACAATTTTGATTCATTCATTAATTCATTCACCTACTCATTCAGCATGTAGGTATTGAGTATGTCTGTGTTAGTACCATTCAAAGCTGCCATTCACTGAGGTCAGGAGCACTACAGGAGGACCTGATTTGCCTTTAATGTAGCATCAAAGTGGAGGAGTTTAGGAGGCAGTTGGATCAACCTATCTGGAACTCAGAAGAGAGCCTGGGCTGGGGATGTAAATGTTCATGAGTCATAATGAAAGCCACCAGTTAAGAATAAGTCTGCCTAGGAAGAGAGACTACAGTGAGAACAGTCTACAGCTGATCTTGGCAGGGATCTGAGTCTAATGGCTGAGACAGCGACATAGAAAACCCTACAAGGGAAACAGAGATGGCTAATCTGAGAAGTGGAAGGAACCCCAGACCGTATTTTATCACAGCCTTCAAAAATGTTTTTTATCCCTTCTTTCTCTCCCCAACACTATTTTTTCTT